TTTCTTTTCTTTTCTTTTCTTTTCTTTTCTTTTCTTTTCTTTTCTTTTCTTTTCTTTTCTTTTCTTTTCTTTTCTTTTCTTTTCTTTTCTTTTCTTTTCTTTTCTTTTCTTTTCTTTTCTTTTCTTTTCTTTTCTTTTCTTTTCTTTTCTTTTCTTTTCTTTTCTTTTCTTTTCTTTTCTTTTCTTTTCTTTTCTTTTCTTTTCTTTTCTTTTCTTTTCTTTTCTTTTCTTTTCTTTTCTTTTCTTTTCTTTTCTTTTCTTTTCTTTTCTTTTCTTTTCTTTTCTTTTCTTTTCTTTTCTTTTCTTTTCTTTTCTTTTCTTTTCTTTTCTTTTCTTTTCTTTTCTTTTCTTTTCTTTTCTTTTCTTTTCTTTTCTTTTCTTTTCTTTTCTTTTCTTTTCTTTTCTTTTCTTTTCTTTTCTTTTCTTTTCTTTTCTTTTCTTTTCTTTTCTTTTCTTTTCTTTTCTTTTCTTTTCTTTTCTTTTCTTTTCTTTTCTTTTCTTTTCTTTTCTTTTCTTTTCTTTTCTTTTCTTTTCTTTTCTTTTCTTTTCTTTTCTTTTCTTTTCTTTTCTTTTCTTTTCTTTTCTTTTCTTTTCTTTTCTTTTCTTTTCTTTTCTTTTCTTTTCTTTTCTTTTCTTTTCTTTTCTTTTCTTTTCTTTTCTTTTCTTTTCTTTTCTTTTCTTTTCTTTTCTTTTCTTTTCTTTTCTTTTCTTTTCTTTTCTTTTCTTTTCTTTTCTTTTCTTTTCTTTTCTTTTCTTTTCTTTTCTTTTCTTTTCTTTTCTTTTCTTTTCTTTTCTTTTCTTTTCTTTTCTTTTCTTTTCTTTTCTTTTCTTTTCTTTTCTTTTCTTTTCTTTTCTTTTCTTTTCTTTTCTTTTCTTTTCTTTTCTTTTCTTTTCTTTTCTTTTCTTTTCTTTTCTTTTCTTTTCTTTTCTTTTCTTTTCTTTTCTTTTCTTTTCTTTTCTTTTCTTTTCTTTTCTTTTCTTTTCTTTTCTTTTCTTTTCTTTTCTTTTCTTTTCTTTTCTTTTCTTTTCTTTTCTTTTCTTTTCTTTTCTTTTCTTTTCTTTTCTTTTCTTTTCTTTTCTTTTCTTTTCTTTTCTTTTCTTTTCTTTTCTTTTCTTTTCTTTTCTTTTCTTTTCTTTTCTTTTCTTTTCTTTTCTTTTCTTTTCTTTTCTTTTCTTTTCTTTTCTTTTCTTTTCTTTTCTTTTCTTTTCTTTTCTTTTCTTTTCTTTTCTTTTCTTTTCTTTTCTTTTCTTTTCTTTTCTTTTCTTTTCTTTTCTTTTCTTTTCTTTTCTTTTCTTTTCTTTTCTTTTCTTTTCTTTTCTTTTCTTTTCTTTTCTTTTCTTTTCTTTTCTTTTCTTTTCTTTTCTTTTCTTTTCTTTTCTTTTCTTTTCTTTTCTTTTCTTTTCTTTTCTTTTCTTTTCTTTTCTTTTCTTTTCTTTTCTTTTCTTTTCTTTTCTTTTCTTTTCTTTTCTTTTCTTTTCTTTTCTTTTCTTTTCTTTTCTTTTCTTTTCTTTTCTTTTCTTTTCTTTTCTTTTCTTTTCTTTTCTTTTCTTTTCTTTTCTTTTCTTTTCTTTTCTTTTCTTTTCTTTTCTTTTCTTTTCTTTTCTTTTCTTTTCTTTTCTTTTCTTTTCTTTTCTTTTCTTTTCTTTTCTTTTCTTTTCTTTTCTTTTCTTTTCTTTTCTTTTCTTTTCTTTTCTTTTCTTTTCTTTTCTTTTCTTTTCTTTTCTTTTCTTTTCTTTTCTTTTCTTTTCTTTTCTTTTCTTTTCTTTTCTTTTCTTTTCTTTTCTTTTCTTTTCTTTTCTTTTCTTTTCTTTTCTTTTCTTTTCTTTTCTTTTCTTTTCTTTTCTTTTCTTTTCTTTTCTTTTCTTTTCTTTTCTTTTCTTTTCTTTTCTTTTCTTTTCTTTTCTTTTCTTTTCTTTTCTTTTCTTTTCTTTTCTTTTCTTTTCTTTTCTTTTCTTTTCTTTTCTTTTCTTTTCTTTTCTTTTCTTTTCTTTTCTTTTCTTTTCTTTTCTTTTCTTTTCTTTTCTTTTCTTTTCTTTTCTTTTCTTTTCTTTTCTTTTCTTTTCTTTTCTTTTCTTTTCTTTTCTTTTCTTTTCTTTTCTTTTCTTTTCTTTTCTTTTCTTTTCTTTTCTTTTCTTTTCTTTTCTTTTCTTTTCTTTTCTTTTCTTTTCTTTTCTTTTCTTTTCTTTTCTTTTCTTTTCTTTTCTTTTCTTTTCTTTTCTTTTCTTTTCTTTTCTTTTCTTTTCTTTTCTTTTCTTTTCTTTTCTTTTCTTTTCTTTTCTTTTCTTTTCTTTTCTTTTCTTTTCTTTTCTTTTCTTTTCTTTTCTTTTCTTTTCTTTTCTTTTCTTTTCTTTTCTTTTCTTTTCTTTTCTTTTCTTTTCTTTTCTTTTCTTTTCTTTTCTTTTCTTTTCTTTTCTTTTCTTTTCTTTTCTTTTCTTTTCTTTTCTTTTCTTTTCTTTTCTTTTCTTTTCTTTTCTTTTCTTTTCTTTTCTTTTCTTTTCTTTTCTTTTCTTTTCTTTTCTTTTCTTTTCTTTTCTTTTCTTTTCTTTTCTTTTCTTTTCTTTTCTTTTCTTTTCTTTTCTTTTCTTTTCTTTTCTTTTCTTTTCTTTTCTTTTCTTTTCTTTTCTTTTCTTTTCTTTTCTTTTCTTTTCTTTTCTTTTCTTTTCTTTTCTTTTCTTTTCTTTTCTTTTCTTTTCTTTTCTTTTCTTTTCTTTTCTTTTCTTTTCTTTTCTTTTCTTTTCTTTTCTTTTCTTTTCTTTTCTTTTCTTTTCTTTTCTTTTCTTTTCTTTTCTTTTCTTTTCTTTTCTTTTCTTTTCTTTTCTTTTCTTTTCTTTTCTTTTCTTTTCTTTTCTTTTCTTTTCTTTTCTTTTCTTTTCTTTTCTTTTCTTTTCTTTTCTTTTCTTTTCTTTTCTTTTCTTTTCTTTTCTTTTCTTTTCTTTTCTTTTCTTTTCTTTTCTTTTCTTTTCTTTTCTTTTCTTTTCTTTTCTTTTCTTTTCTTTTCTTTTCTTTTCTTTTCTTTTCTTTTCTTTTCTTTTCTTTTCTTTTCTTTTCTTTTCTTTTCTTTTCTTTTCTTTTCTTTTCTTTTCTTTTCTTTTCTTTTCTTTTCTTTTCTTTTCTTTTCTTTTCTTTTCTTTTCTTTTCTTTTCTTTTCTTTTCTTTTCTTTTCTTTTCTTTTCTTTTCTTTTCTTTTCTTTTCTTTTCTTTTCTTTTCTTTTCTTTTCTTTTCTTTTCTTTTCTTTTCTTTTCTTTTCTTTTCTTTTCTTTTCTTTTCTTTTCTTTTCTTTTCTTTTCTTTTCTTTTCTTTTCTTTTCTTTTCTTTTCTTTTCTTTTCTTTTCTTTTCTTTTCTTTTCTTTTCTTTTCTTTTCTTTTCTTTTCTTTTCTTTTCTTTTCTTTTCTTTTCTTTTCTTTTCTTTTCTTTTCTTTTCTTTTCTTTTCTTTTCTTTTCTTTTCTTTTCTTTTCTTTTCTTTTCTTTTCTTTTCTTTTCTTTTCTTTTCTTTTCTTTTCTTTTCTTTTCTTTTCTTTTCTTTTCTTTTCTTTTCTTTTCTTTTCTTTTCTTTTCTTTTCTTTTCTTTTCTTTTCTTTTCTTTTCTTTTCTTTTCTTTTCTTTTCTTTTCTTTTCTTTTCTTTTCTTTTCTTTTCTTTTCTTTTCTTTTCTTTTCTTTTCTTTTCTTTTCTTTTCTTTTCTTTTCTTTTCTTTTCTTTTCTTTTCTTTTCTTCTTTCTTTTCTTGCCTTCTTTCTTTGCCTTCCTTCTTTCTTTTCCTTCTTTCTTGCTTCTTCCCTTCCCCCCCCCTCCCCCTAGAAAATATATTTCAAAAGGAGAAATGTTGGGAGTTTGCAAGGAGCTGAAATTAAGCAAGGGGCCAGGAGGTGGTTGCAAGTTCATGTCCCTTCCCAGGGCCTGGTTCTGATGGGGCTTTAGGGGCTGCCAAACCATGGGGGGTGGGGGCACAAAACCAGTTCCTGCTGCCCTGTCTTCTGCAGGGTCAAGTGTAAAATCCCACCAGCTCCAGGCTGCTTTGGAGGGACAACATGGGATGGTGGAAGGAAAGGACCTGGCTCAGCAGGGGGGGTTGATGCTGTGTGGAACTGCTGGGTGATGATGGGCATGGCTGAGACCACCCATCCCACCACCAGCCTTGCAGCCACTTCAGGGGGTTTCAGCAACCCCCTTTCATTGTTGTTTGCTTGTTTTTCCTGAGCTTTTCCTGCTTTGGCTGGTTTTGATGGAGCCACCGTGTCCGTGTGCCAGGAGGGAGGGATCTGGGCTCCCGTGGAGCATCGGGGTGAGAGGGTGGCAGGGGGGACAATCCTCGTGCTCCTGGGGACATCAAACATCTCCAGGGCTCTGTGAGGGACAGGGGGGTCAGTGCAGCCTCCCCAGGAGGGGATGTGCCCAGTGAAGAGGTGTCATGAGCTGATGTCTCATGTCCATCCTTTTACCTGCTGTGCTGCCAGCCTGGAGTGGAAGGGGTTGGGACCCACCTGCCCCACCAGCCTGGCTGCTGGTGGGTATGGCTGGGCTGAGGACACCCCCTTGTCTCCCAAGTGTCACCACCAGCCCCCAAACTGCCCTCTCCTCCCGTGGCCCCTTCCTGGGCTGCCCTGTAGCCTCCGTTTTCCTATTGCAACCCAGAAGGGCAGAGGGGACAAACTGGAGCCAAGAAGACCCTGGTGGTCCCGTGGGAGCTGCTCAGCCAGCCCCAACCACAGGCTGAGGGGGGGGGAGAGGGGCCAGGGGTGAAGGCCATGTAAGAAGTGCCAGAGCCCTGGGCCAGGCTGCCCAGAGAGGCTGTGGAGTCTCCTTCTCTGGAGACATTCCAACCCCCCTGGGTCCTGTGTGATGTGCTCTGGGTGCCCCTGCTCTGGCAGGGGGGGTTTGGGCTGGGGGATCTTTCCAGGTCCCTCCCAACCCCTGTGTTACTGTGATTCTGTGATTCTGTGAATAAGGATCTTTGTTTTGCCTGTTTTGCAGAGTTTCAATGTTCTGACTTGCTCTAAGATGAAGGTATGGAAGTTGGCAGCCATTGCATCGATGCTCCTCAGTTCCATCTTATCCATTTTAGTTTGTAGAGACATGTTCACTGGAAGCCGGACACACAGCCCCTTGCCTTCCTCGCCGTATTCCTCACGGGCATCCTCCTCTTCCTCCTCTTCTTCCTCTTCCTCCTCCTCCTCCTCCTCCTCCTCCTGGCTGCCAGCAGCTCTGCAGAGATCCCGGCGGGCCCTGCGACGCCGCAGCTCCCTGCTCACCCAGTGTAAGCTCCTTCCCTCCATCCAGCCCCAAAAATACTTCCACTCAAGGCTGGAAGGGAAATCCCTGTTGGTTTATTCCCCCTTTTGCTCTGGACATCTCCTCTGGGAGGGTTTGAAGAGGGTTTTGGGGGGGATGGAGCAGGGAGGGTTGGTTGGGGGTGGTGTTTGGAGGGAGCAGGGGAGCTACTGCATGGAGGGGAACAGGAGCCAGGCTGGGAGAGTTGGGGAGCCTGGAGAAGAGAAGGCTCCAGGGAGACCTTAGAGCAGCTTCCAGGGCCTGAAGGGGCTCCAGGAAAGCTGGGGAGGGACTTGGGACAAGGGCAGGGAGGGAGAGGACAAGGGGGGATGGATGAAAAGTGGCAGAGGGAGATTGGGGTGAGACATGAGGAGGGAATTGTGGAGTGTGAGGGTGGTGAGAGCCTGGCCCAGGTTGCCCAGGGAAGCTGTGGCTGCCCCATCCCTGGCAGTGTTGAAGGGCAGGTTGGATTGGGCTTGGAGCAGCCTGGGCTTGTGGGGGGTGTCCCTGCCCATGCAGGGGGTTGGAACTGGATGGTCTTGAAGGTCCCTTCCAACCCAAACCATTCTGGGATTCAATGATCTTAATGAAAAGAAGCTGGTTTTTTTGTTGGTTGTTTTTTTTTTTCTCACTCCAAATGTGCTTCTTTTTATTTTTAAATTGTTTTTTTATAAATGGATTTTCTCTGCTATTTTTACCAATTCAACATGTCAAACAGGAGCTGCCCCAGCGGGGGAACCAGCCCCTGGGCAGGGGAGGCTGCAGCAAAAGCTCCAGGGGTTCATTTGGTTCCCAAACCAGAGGAACTTCTCCCAGGGGGGAGGGGACATTTTGCAGTCGATGACAAACTGACAAATGACATTTCCCTCCAGCTTTTTGGGGTTGTTTTGTTGTTGTTGTTGTTGTTCCCTCCCCCAGCACTGAGCTGGCCCAAGCCCAGCTTTGGGGTTAGGACAACGGGACTGGACAATGACACCTGGGGACAGGTTGGGGTTGGGGGGGTGACAGCCAAACCCCCCCCCCACCCCTTCCACAGCCAGAGGAAACAGTGCAAACAATCCAGTTTTAGTTGTTTCTCCCCAGTCCCATCGTGGCTTTTCTGCAGCAGGATCTGGAGGTTGGCACCAGGTTTGCCCACTTGCACCTGGGGGAGATGCCACCGAGGAGGTTTCACTCCTGCTGGGATGGATTTTGCAGGAGCTTTGTCCTTCTGGTGTCCCAACGCTGGTGCCAACCTCCTGCTGCTCCATTCCCTGCCTGCAGCCACCTGGGAACCACGAGCATGAACCAGGAGTTAATTGGGGGGTGGATTTTTTTTTTTCCCCCAAAAAACAGTTGAGGATTGAGCTGCTTGGGGCTGGTGGGGAGATAAAGAAAATCAGGCAGAAAAGGGAAAGTTTTTTGGGGTTTTTTTACTTCCTGTCACCTTCCTGCCCTTCTTCCTGGGGGCAGCCACCTGCCCCAGGGGACCTCCATCCTGGGGACATCCACCTGGCCATGGGGACCTCTATCCTGGGGACATCCACCTGGCCAGAGGGACCTCTGTCTTGGGGGACATCCATCTGGCCATGGGGATCATCCTGGGGGGGAATGTTCACCTGGCCATGGGAACTTCCATCCTGGAGACATCACCCACTCCATGGAATCTCCATCCTGGGGGACCGGCATCTGGCATGAGGGACCTCTATCCTGGGGACATCCACCTGGCCAGAGGGACCTCTGTCTTGGGGGACATCCATCTGGCCATGGGGATCATCCTGGGGGGATGTTCACCTGGCCATGGGAACCTCCATCCTGGAGACATCACCCACTCCATGGGATCTCCACCCTAGGGGGATGTTCACCTGGCCATGGGGATCTCCATCTTGGGGAACATCCATCTGGCCATGGGGATCATCCTGGGGGGATGTTCACCTGGCCATGGGAACCTCCATCCTGGAGACACCCACCACTCCAAGACACCTCCACCCTGGGCGGATGTTCACCTGGCCAGGGGCACACCCACCCGCTCCAAGGGAACCCCCATCCTTGGGGAACACCCCCCCACACACTCTGAGGACCACTCCCCACTAACAACCTCCCCTCCTGTTGCAGACAGCAGCTTGTTGGAGAGCTACACAGAGGGGGAGATGCGGCAGCTCCTCTCGGCGCTGCTGGGACGTCCCGGCCA